GTATCTCCTGACACCCCCAACATCCCGTACTAAAGAAATGCTATGTCAGCCTCAACCCTTGACTACGTACTAGGAGGAAGACCAGCCCTTAGTCTTGATCTGGTAGCGAACACAGGACCTCATGTGAATTGTACGTGAATCGTTGTTCCATTGTATGATGGTAGAGAGGTGGGGATCCTCCGTTCCATCGTATATTCCTGGAGCCCGTTCCCGGCCCCGCGGTAAGGTGCAGTATCTTCTGACACCGCCGACATCCCGTACTAAGGAACTGTTATGCCAGCCTCAACCCTAAGCTACGTACTAGAAGGATAGCCAACCCTGAGAATCTATTGACCCTGTGTTGTATGGTAGTCTGAGAGCTAACAATCCTCTGTTCCCTCGTATGTCCYTGGAGCCCGTTCCGGCCCCGCGGTAAGGTGCAGTATCTCCTGACACCCCCGACATCCCGTACTAAGGAACTGCTATGCCAGCCTCAACCCTTGACTACGTACTAGTAGGAGGATGACCAGCCCTAAGTCATGATCTGTCATTGAACACAGGACCTCATGTGAACCGTCCAAATGACCTAACCTATTGACCTATAATGTATTAATGTGAAACAGTCTGTGACTATCCTGGGCTCAAGTAAACCAGACCGTACAAATCACCCAGCAGTCTCCTGACCACCCCATAGTCAAAGAACATCAGGACATCCCACTGTCACCGAGTCCCAGCATACAACAACCATGGGCTACCCCTTGTGTGGTGCGCAGACAGTGTCTGTAATAGCTTACCTGCATCATCCCAAGGGGGTGTATGTCCAGCCGTGTGTCACTCTAACGCCCTGCCGGTATCCATGCGCGAAGTTGCAAAGTTTTGAACCTGCAACCTTATACCACAATGCGCATTTCGAACCCGTGCTCTAACCACTGAGCTACATCAACTGGACTGCTACTACTGCTACGCTATATTCTTCTCTCAAATCTTTCATCATCTTTCAAATTCTTTTCAATTCACCATCGCTACCTACCTACCACTACTCGTAAGGCTTATACAGGGGACTCCTGCGAACATTGCTTTGTTGTCTCCCTCCAGCCATCAGAGGGGATGCATGTTACCCCCCGCCCCAACCATGGTGGTCATGGATAGGGTGGGGCCGCCGATGGGGGTCTGGGTGGTCAAGGATAGGGTGGGGCCGCCGGTGGGGGTCCGGGTAACGCAAAGACTGGCGAAGAAGAAAGGCAAGCAATGGCCGATTGCTCTTTACACGCGAACCAATAATATTTCCATTAATGAAACAAGCGTGTACATCATGCTCGAAGTTACCGCGCATGCGTTCCCCTACGTTGCAACCGGGTGCACTCCGGTCTCATCAGGAGGCTTGCCACTAGCCCAGCGCCTTACGGCCCGCCAACACCTTGTCACCCTACGAGCGAACGAGGACCCGTGTGGCCTTTGCCCTCATTTATGCTTTGGCCTTCCCTTGCACGTGCTCTGCCTTCTATCTTCTGGGTTCTGATTGGCTAAACAATCCTATGTCCGATCCTGGTGTGGTCCTCCCTAGCCGCTCAATCCCTCATGTGCGGGCTCTGTGCACGTGCTAGACTGCCACAGAAACTCCCAGGTAATCCGATAGCGCCCGAAGTTCAAATTTAAAGCGCGGAAAGTTCAAATTTAAATTCTACCATATAATCCGTTACTTCACCCACCTTTCCCCACCACCTATCTCCACGCGTCTAAAATAAACTTAAAAAAAATAATAATAAAAAAAATCTCCACGCTTCTTATTTCTTTTTTTTTTCTATCTCATTTTTCTTGATAGTACGCATCTATCTCATCCTCTCACTATTCTATATATAGTATGGGGGAACACCAACCAACCCGGATCCCTCCCCAGCCGACAGGGTAGGTTGGCACCACAGCTGTGGTGCGAGGGCAAGGCACACATGCAAGTGAAAGTCAATTGAACAAGGATTACAGCAAAAAAAAAAAAAAAAAAAAAAAAAAAAAAAGAATTTCCACACATGACCTCTCCTCGTCTTCGCACTTTCCCGCTCCTTACCTCAAGGCGTGCTGAGCCAGCGCGTGTGCTGCCAATTCCCAGATCAAATCCTATCTGGTGAAGTCCCCTCCCAAAATAATATACACCCCTCTGAATTTCCACACCCGCCAAACTTGCCGCCTGTATTGCTAATTTCGAGAAATCTGTCAATTGCAAATTACGGAAACAAATCACGGAATGCTCTGCCATTGCCAGTCCCTTGCCCACAATGTTCGCAGCCTACTATGCCTCGTCGTTTGAACGTAGGAACGAATGGTCGTTGTGCAGGGACCGGTCGACCGCTGGGCAGGAGGCGGCAGGAGGGTAGCTGGGAGGGTGGAGGAAGTGGAAGAGGCCTCAAAAGCAGGTCGGGATGTGGTCGCCCTAAAAAAAACGAGGGTGTCGTCTGTTTTTGTTTTGTTCCAATGCCCCGTTCGGTCTGTCGAGTAATAGGGGTCTCGGGGGGTGGCGGTCAAATGGTGTTGTTTTTTGGTGTATGTGGTTGGCCCAATTTCTTTTCTTTTTTTCTTTCTTTGTGTAACTGTAACTGTAATTGTAACCGTGAATAAAACGGCGAACTACTCTCGACATTCACAAAAGACAAAAATCATGGCCGTGCATCTTTCCATGTTTTACTGGAAGATCTGTTTTTGTTTTGTTCCAATGCCCCGACCGGTCTGTCGAGTAATAGGGGTCTCGGGGGGTGGCGGTCAAATGGTGTTGTTTTTTGGTGTATGTGGTTGGCCCAATTTCTTTTCTTTTTTTCTTTCTTTGTGTAACTGTAACTGTAATTGTAACCGTGAATAAAACGGCGAACTACTCTCGACATTCACAAAAGACAAAAATCATGGCCATGCATCTTTCCATGTTTTAGCGGAAGATTCACTCTCGTTTTGCACAGTTCGAGAGTAGTGCAGCTAGCCCCTATGTGTATAATGTGTATGGGCCGATTCTGCAATCTGTACAGATTTTGTAAAATCGTCTCGTGGCCCGAGCCTTGACGCCCGAAGAGGAATAGGGTTGCTAACCTCATTGTAGATTTATCTGTGGGCAGATGACATCCAGGTTCAAGCGCGTGGGATCTGATACATTGTAGGTGTATGTTGTAGGTGTACGTTGTAGGTGTACGTTGTAGGTGTATGCGGTGTGGCAGAAAACGGGTTGGGGGGGAGAAAACAGAAACGTTTTTTTTTGTTTTTGTTTCTTTTTTGTTTTTTTTCTTCTATATTCTTCTCTCAACTTCTGTTTTTGTTTACCTTCCACTACCTACTCCTAACACTATCTAGAGGGGAGCCCTGCAAGCATAGTTTCCTCTCTCTGTGAAGGGGAGATTTCATGTTGCCCCTTGCCCCTAATGGTTAGGGTATAGGGTTGGGGCCGCCAGTGGGGGTCTGGCTAACACAAAGACCGAGACCTGCCAGTAGCTGTGCCTCCCTTTCTCATCGTCCCCCACCCTTCATCCAGTAGCAGCAGAGGCTATGGCCAACACTCTCCCACACACCACACACACACCCGTGCTGGTCATAGACCCTGCTAATACCCATCAGGGGTATCCAGAGGACTAGTGCCCTTTCTTTTGTTTTTTTTTTTCTTCCTGTTTTAATTTTTGGCCTGATTGTGTCCATTTATCTATGAGCAGATGACATCCAGATTCAGGTGCGCAAAATCTGATATTTGTAGGTGTACGGTATTGACTATTGACCTGGCTGCACTACTCTTGAAATGCACAAAAGACAAAAGTCATGGCCGTGTATCTTTCCATATTCTAGAGGAAGATTCACTCTCGTTTTGCACATTTCGAGAGTAGTGCAGCGAGGCCCTATGCCTTCACCATATTCACTACAGTCACCTGTAAGAACTTAGGTACGAGCCGTATGAATGATGTGTGCAAGAAAGACAATGGGCCTCGCCACACGGCGCATGAAACGAAAATGGAACGAGTGCATCTTCCCACCAAAGGTGGCAAATACACTCGTTAAACCTGGCCACTTTGTTGGGGGGATGCACTCGTGTCCTGTTTTTTTTTTTTAAAGCTATATTCTTCTCTCATCCATCTCATTTTCTTGCTAGTACTCATCTATCTCATCCTCTCACTAGTTCGCAGCCCGTAGGCTGCGCTATACCTCGTCGTTTATGTGTAGTAGGGGGGAACACCAACCAACCCGGATCTCTCCCCAGCCCACGGGGTAGGTTGGCACCACAGCAGTGGTGTGAGAGCAAGGCTGTACCAGTCCCTCCTCACGGTGACAAGGGGTGGGGAGGCATTGTTGATGGGGGAAATCGGCGGTGGTAGCGCCGAGCGATGGCCAGTCACTGCACCTCCCCCCTACCCCCCCCAAACCCCGCATGGCGGTGTCTAATGGCCGATATTGTGGCTGCATAGCAACCAAAAACATCAACCAAGGTCCTGGCAGATTCTTCTGCCCGTTACGGGCTGCGGGCCCGCGACCTCGCGGTATGTCAATAGGACCATGTTATCGAGGAGCACTTTCCACGGCTCCTCGTTAGCGATGGTACCCCTGGCAAATTTGGACCATTTCTTCTTCTTTTTTTTTTAATAAAAAAAAGGGCCCTCAGGGCTTCATATTATGCAGTTGAAATAGCACTGAGGCCGGGAATCCTCAACAAACAACCCGGAAAAAAACTTGGACCATTTCTCGATTTATGCGTGTCATCCTTGCGCAGGGGCCATTTGCTAATCTTCTTTCTCTGTATCGTTCCAATTCTTACGGATGTCCCGAAGGGCCCCCTGGCAAATTTCGACCAGGGAAGATGCAAGGAACTGCCAGAAAAGACTGGTGTTAGCCATTTAAAAAAAAAAAAAAAAAAAAAAAAAAGACCCGGCCATGAATCGGCTCCATCGATATGAACCGCCGCATTCTTCCCTGTCCATCGCCCTGTGTCTGTCTTCCCTGCCAGCCATTGCTTGTTGCTCTGCTCGCTAGCTTGGCGCTCTGGAGATCCGCGGAGATTGGGCATGGCGGTCGCCATAGCTCCGAGCTCATCACGCCTTTATGGCGTGCGTGGCCGAGCGCGTCATCTTCCGACCCGCGCCGGTCTCCCTCCCCTTGTCCGTTCGCTGGCGTGTCTTCTTCTCGTGACCGCTGCTCATCTTTGCTGCATGCCAACAGCTTCTGAACCAGTGCCACGTGGCGTGTTTCCCGTCTGTTCAGGAGAAACTCTGGTCGAAGACGGATATGGCGGATGCCAGACTTCGTCGTCGTCGTCGTCTTCATACGGGCATTCCTTCTTGTGCGAGCCAGACCCGGTGGCTATGGCCGCCATGAAGCCCGTCTGTCCTCCCTCTAGCCCCCCTACCTCCGCATTCACGTCGCTGACCGTCTCTGTTGTGCCAGGTGTGGGCTACGTGTTCGCAAATGCCACCAGTTGCCAGCCAATCAAGCAATCTGAGTCCGGATTTCTGACCGGACTCTTCAACGCTACCTCAGGGATCGTCATAATCCCGGAGAAGGGAGTGGACCCCAGGGCGTATGCTCCTTATGCTCGCGCCATGACTGCAGCGGGAGCCTTCGCTGTCATCGTCACGGATATCAACGAAGCCAACGTCGTTCGAGCGTTGTCCATATCCCTCTCCCCTCCCCGAATCTGGGCCGTGATGGGACACGGGACCTACGGCGGGGCTCTGGCCACTCTTCTCGCCCGTTCTCTGTACCCGCGAATCACCACACTCATTCTCCATGCGGCTGCCATTCCTCCTGACATCGACTTCTCGCAGGTCAGATTCGGATCTCTAACCTGGGTTTGTTTATGGGTTTGTTTATGGGTTTGTTAAACTTTGTTTATGTTTATTGGTTTGTTTTTGTTTATTGGTTTGTTTGGTTCATTCGTTGATAGGTCAGAGAGAGAGTCGGAGTTATCCGAGTGTTTCAGACGACTTCCCCCGAATACAGCGTACTGTCAAATTATAGCGGAATTTGGGGTATCTTTCAGTCTAGACTCTAGATACAGTGATCATGACCGGGCGTTGTAATCGGGGGAAGAAGGTAGGCCCATTGCACGGCGCTATAGCTCTCTCTGTATTCCGCTGCGGCACAGACAGAAGAGTGCCTGTACCTAACCCGAAAATAGGCAGTATACCTTGATTTTAATTTATTAGCCGCCTGACTTACATTCGCCGGGGGAAGAAGGAGGTAGTTGCCATTTTTGGTAGCTCATTCGTTGCCTTCTTCCCCCCTCGCACACCCCCTTTGAGCCGTTAACGCACGCTAATTATGAATCTATACAGCCTCCTTTTCGTTTTTTTTCAAAACGTGAATGTAAACGTGAATGTATACATAGTACATACACCCCCCCGTGACCCCCGTTTGTCAATGAGCAGTTGCATTCACGTTTACCATGATCATGCTGGCTCGCTGGCTCACCATCGACTTTTGCTCCCGCAGTGCCTTCACTGGCACTCGCCATATTGATGCTTGGCGTCCGTTCGCTGGGAGCTTTCATTAGAATAATATCCTCTTTGTTTTTTTTTTCCTCATTTAATTTAGAATATTTTCGTCATCAGCTCCAACGGCCCTGATGTATCACCATGGAGCTAACCGGCCCTAAGCAATTCAGAATTGCAGTATTTTCCTCATCTGATCAGCATTCGGTGGAGTTCGAACTCAGGTCTATATGTGAACAGCTCCTCAGGGGTGTGCCAACTGAGCTAGGCCAGTTGGTTGTGATATCCTTTCAGCATAAGTCAGCATCTGGGAAATTTTTCTTCACGAATCTCTTGGCAATGTGCCACCATCTTCTTCTTCGTCGTCGTCTTCTTCTTGTTCTTCTTCTTCTGCTGCTGCTGCTGCTGCTGGAACTGCTGTTCTTCTTCTTATGTTTTTCCTTGTAGAGGGCCACGGCCATGAGGTATCATCATTGAGCTTGTGTACCAACTGAGGTAGGCCAGTTGGTTATGATATCCTTTTAGCATAAGTCAGCATCGGGGAATTTCTGTATGAATATCTGGTGCCTTCTTCTTCTTCTGCTGCTGCTGCTGGTGCTGCTGGTGCTGCTGTTCTGCTTATGTTTTAAATTCCGTTTCGAGGACTGCCATGAGGTATCATCATTGACCTTGTGTGCCAACTGAGCTAGCATAAGGCCAGTTGGTTATGATATCCTTTTAGCATAAGTCAGCATCTGGGAATTTCTGTATGAATATCTTGTGCCTTCTTCTTCTTCCTCTTCTGCTGCTGCGGCTGGTGATGGGGCTGCTGTTCTTCTTCTTATGTTTTAAATTCCGTTTCGAGGGCGATGGCCATGAGGTACCATCATTGAGCTTGTGTACCAACTGAACTAGGCCAGTTGGTTATGATACCCTTTTAGCATCGCGGAATATCTTTATGAATATTTTGTGCCTTCTTCTCCTGCTGCCGCTGCTGCTGCGATGGCCATGAGGTATCATCATTGAGCTTGTGTGGCAACTGAGCTAGGCCAGTTGGTTGTGATATCCGTTTAGCATAAGTCAGCATCTGGGAATTTTCTTCATGAATCTCTTATGCCATCTTCTTCTTTCTTCGTCTTCCTCGTCTTCTGCTGCTGCTGCTGTTCTTCTTCTTATGTTTTTTTCGTTTTGAGGGCGAGGGCCATGAGGTATCATCATTGAGCTTACGGCCCCCAACTACTGAATTCAGCGTTATTTTACTCTGTCCTGCTGGTTGCATCTGGATTCGAACTTGGGTCTGTATTTCACGTGTGTACCCAACTGAGCTAGGCCCGCGTTGGTCCTCCTGTTTTCTCCGTTTGCATCGATGTGGTGTTTTCTACCATTGCATTTTTTTTTTTTTAATTACGGTCTTGAGATATCATCATTGAACTGACCGGCCTCAGGTAAGTCAGAATGATGTTGTTGTTGTTGTGTTCGGGTTGTTCGGCTTTTTAGGCTATGAAGCTACTGTTGTTTAAACTAGCTCAGAAAGGGGACTGCAGGGCAAGGACCTAAGTGGCCGAGTACGCCCTAGTTAAGGACTCCCCATCTGAAGCATAAGCAAACCTGACTGAGGCTGTCAGAGGTTCTCAACCGGGTTGAATTGTGGGGTCCCCGGCCCCGAATCGATTTTTGGAAGAGACAATTTTGCTTTGGAAAAAAAAAGAAAAAAAAAGGAAAAAAAAAAAGAATGATGTTGTTCTGTTCATCTGACGTAATCTGGATTCAAACTGGGGTCTATGAAGATCATCTCTTTTTTTTCTAGCAAATCCTTGTTTTTTCGAAGCATCCTGTATTTCAGCAGATAAAGATTGATCTAAACTTATGTTTTTTTTTGTCAAACGTCGTCTCCACAAGGCGCCTTCAAGAATCCACCGAAGAGCTAAGGTTTCTTGACGACTCTTTGGTATAATGGACTTCTAAAATAGGTTTGACATTTTCAATCGCGTTAACAAAATGCGTGATTACATTCATAGACAAGTTCTCATTAGCTAGACAATAGAAAGTTTTATAAACAATAGCACRAGATTTTGTTTTTTTCCCATGAATCATACAAATGTTGATAAATTTGTGTATCAATTGTTGTACCTTGCAATTCTCTAAAATCAAAGGCTCGAAGAGCGAGACTTGTGAGATTTTTCGGTTCATATTTCAATTTGGGGTTTTTTGGTACCATATTTTGATCTGCCTCGCAAAATACGGGGATGACTTGTGGCTAGGGGTAAATAAAGAAAGAGTAAGAATCAATCGTCCGAGTATTGATTCTTCAGCGTATTTTACGCTTCATGCCTTTTGCCCCATAGGCGCGTGAGCACTTATAGAAAAACTGGCTCATTTGCCATATGGGCCTCGCCGCACTACTCACGAAATGCAATGCACAAAAGACAAAAAATGATGCTGGTGCATCTTCCCGTTATCTAGAGGAAGATTCATTCTCATTTTGTACATTTTGTTTGGTGAGCAATGCGGCGAGGCACTTCAATGTGGTTGGTTTACCCACCAACGACACGTCGTGTGGGCAGAGACACGAATGCCACCCCGTGACCCCGGTGCCACATCACTGTTTGCACGGGACCTGGAAGGCCAGCCCATGGCTTTTCTGCATGGACACGTTCCACACACATGGGGCCTCGCTCAGTGCCACATCACTGTTTGCGCCGGACCTGGAAGGCCAGCCCATGGCTTTTCTGCATGGACACGTTCCACACACATGGGGCCTCGCTCACTACTCCCGAAATGTGCAAAACGAGAGTGAATCATCCGGTAGAACATGGAAAGATAACACCACCATGATTTTTGTCTTTTGCGCATGTCAAGCGTAGTGGAGCGAGGCCCATGCATTTTCTTCATTCCCTGATCCTCGATCATCCACTTCGATTGGCGGATGTTCCAGGACGCCAAAATTGGGAACCTACACTGGCACTAAACAGACGCACACCAGGAAAGAAAAGAGAAGAAAAGAAAAGAAAAGAAGGGAAAGCCCGTGCAAACAGCAACGTCTCCACGTGCGCCGCTGCACCCACAAGGCATGCATTGGCTGTAGCATGGCGATAGCTTGCACGCAATCGACCTTTCCCAAAAGATGAGAGGAAGGGTGGGTGTGGTCTTACAACGGGTTCATCTGTACAACAGAATGGACGATTACTGTGGGTCACTGTCATCTGTCAAGAATCCCGCCGTTTGGTTGAACGTGCAACTCCCATGAGGGAGGTCGTGTGTTCGATCCTTGAGGTCGGATCATGTACGATAAAATTGTTTTTTTTTTTTTTTTTTTTTTTTTTTTTTTTTTTTTTTTTTTTTTTTTTTTTTTTTTTTTTTTTGGAAAGTCGAGCTTTTTTTTCAATTGAACAATTAGATCAAGGCCGGGGACCTCACAATTCTACCCGGAGTTATCCTGGGGCCATTACCCAGTTTAGGCTTAGCTGAAAACCGGGTTCAGCGGCCCATCTTGCTCTTGCTAAAACCTTCCAAAAAAAAAACAGAATCAAGCTTGAAGCTCAACAACAAGGAAAGCTGATGACTACTTCTAGTTTATTTCCTGGATAAACCGTGACCTGCAAGGATTAAAGCCTTTCAAATAAACTACAAGAGAAAAACAGAAAAACTTCTACCAGTGAGTACCTTGAAAAGTAAACTCAATCTTTAAACTTTTTAAAATTAGGTCTAATACGACCTCACCAGTTCTCTACAAGCTCCTCTATTGCACCCACCTCAGTCCTCTTGGCTCTGAAGCCAAGGAGATATAGAGAAAGATCCCTCTGGGCTAACTGTCACCCATTTACTGGCTGCACCCCATGTTCGTTGGAACCACAGTAGGTTCCTAGCTCCAGGCAAACGGCGCTGAGTCCAGTCTGCAGTTATAGTAAGCCTTAATTTGTTCTTCAGCAGTGCCTTCTGATGAGGAAGGGAGAAAATTTCCCCCTTAAATACTTTTGCGTTCCGAGCTGTCCAGATAACCTCCAGTAATGCCCCTCGACAACACAGTGCCACATACCCTATACCTGCAGATAGACCGACTCCTGAGGGGGGAAGGCCTGTAAGCCACCAAGTATCTGTCCACGGCATTTCCTGATCATACAGGAGGTGCCAACGTCTCTTCCACCATTCCAATAAACCGTCTAGGAGCGGGCAGAAGAGCCAGAGGTGCGCTTGGTCTTCCCAACCCCAGTTACAGCGTTGACAGATAGGGAAGACCTCCATTCCCTTAGCAGATAACCAAGATGCAGTAGCAGTCACAAAAAGGGACTGCAACCAGATGATTGCTGCCTGCTTCTGTGAAGGCAGCTTCTTCAGGGCGATCCATAAGATCATCA